CTTCTGACAAGCACAATTTACATTGAGATCGCCCTGCGCTGCTATTTACTTTGAGACCTGATTAGTATGGGTCGTCTACGGTCTCTCTCTCTCTCCCCCTCTCTCACACACATCGACAGAGAGGGATGCATTGCGATAGGCGGAAAGGGGGAGTTAAAAGGGGACGATGTGGGCTCCCCGTGAAAAGTTGGTGGTTTGGGGTTTGGTGTTTTTTTTTTGTTTTTGTTTTTTGTTTTGTTTTGTTTTGTTTCTTCCCCCCCCCCCCCCCCCCCCCCCCCCTCCTTTTCCACGCCTGAAATCGGGATTTCTCTCTCCCTTCCCCATTGCAAAAACCACGCCGGGGGTCTTAACGATGGGGAAGAAAACACACTCGCTGCGCGGAGGGGCAGGCGTGCGTGTGCCCCGCACCCTTGCACACACACACACGCGCGCGCGCGCGCGCGCGCGCGCACACACACACGTCCACGCGCGCATTTACATCTCCACACACTCCCAATTCCACTTTGGGCTATTTTTTGCCGCCCCATCCCCTCTATCCTCACCTCACATACCCACCCTCCTCCCAACGCCCCGCCGGGCTCCTCGCTTCCCGCGTGGGAAATGACCACTCCGCTCCCTTTTAATTTTATTTTTGTGTGTGGTGTGTGTGTGTGTGTGCGTGTGCGCGCGCGAGCGGTCACAACCACCTCAACCACCCCGCGCATCGCGATGACCCCCTCCCCCCCCCCCCCCCCCCCTTTTCCTCAGGGACCCCTCCCCAAAAAGTGAGTTGCTCCGCGCGGGGTGGTGGCGGGGAGGAGGGATGAGGGGAGGGGGCGGGATGGAGCGGGGGGGGGGGTGTCGCCCTGCTGCGCTCCCCTCCGCTCCCCTCCGCTCCTCTCCGCTCCTCTCCGCTCCTCTCCGCGGCCCCGGCGGCGGCGCGGAGCGGGAATCGCTGGCGCCGGCTGCCATCTAGTGGGCACCGAGCCGGCGGCCCGGGGGAGCGGGGGGGGGGGGCCGGGGGGCCCGCATGCGGCCTCTCACACCCCCACCCTACCTCTTTCTTAAAAAAAAAAAAAAAAAAAAATTTAAAAAAAAATTCCCCTCTTTCCCTTTTTTATTTTTAATAGAAAACTGCACAGTACATCTTCCTTTCTTTCCGATTTCTGTCCCTCCTTTCTCACAAGCCTGCGCCTTCCCCTTCTGCCAGAGGTCTGATACTCGCTTCGGGTCGAAAGACTGCGTGTGACAAAGAAGGAACATACTGTTAAAAAACAACAAAAACAAAAAAACAAACAAACAAACAAACAAAAAAAAAACAACAAAAAAACACCAACTTCTCTAGCTCCCATAAAAGTTTATAATCAGATTGGAAGCCGGGGGAAAAAAACTGCGGGGGGTAAAGGGGATGAAATATATGACAGAAGTTTTATTGTTATTATTTTTTGTAAAGAGATGTTGCCTTCATTAAAAAAGGAAAAAAAAAAAAAAAAAAGCCCTCAACTTTGATGTATCGTGATCACATTTTTTTTTTTTTTTTTTTTTTTTTTGACTCTGTCAGCTCTCAAATCTGAGGCTGGGAGCCGGCTGGAGAGGAGAATCCTTCATCATTTCTGAGATCAGAATAAATGCTTGATTTTGTCCCGAAATAATGAAGAGATTTTCAATGAGTCCCTTGGCCAAGCCGTCTCTATTGTATATTGCATTGATAAAAAGGATGTTATTGACTATGCAACAGTAGGCTCCTTTCCTCTCTCTCCCTCTTTCCAAATAAACTCTCGGTCCTGTCTGCTGGTCAGTGAAAAGGTGAAACGAATAAGATTAAATCGGACAAAAAAAGCAAGCTCGGTATGTATATCATCTAGATTTTACTCCCCAGACTGTGAAGAGACAGGGACTAAAAGAGGCAGAGCAAGGCACGGAGAGAGAGGGAGAGAGAGAGAGAGAGAGACAGAGACACAGACACAGACAGAGGCAGAAAAGCCTGAGAGAAGGTGGACGGACCCAGCAGCCGCAGCCCGGCTCCTCCCGGCCCCGGCTCCCCGGGCCACCCCAGGCAAGTCGCCGCTTCCCTCCTCGGGGGTTCGGGGGCGGAGGGAGGGGGGAGCGGGGCCGCGGCACTTGGCGGGGAGACCTTTCCCAACCTCCCCCCCCCGCCCCGCTCCGGGTTCCCCCCCTTCCCCTGTTATTCGGGCATCCCGTTTATTTGGGCGGAGGGAGAGGCGCCTAGCCCTCGTTTTGTCCCGAGTCCCCCCCCCTCCCCAACCACCTCCCCGCTTTCTCCTTATAGATTCCCCCTGTAGAATCGTGTGTGGGTATTCCCCTTGCACACACACGCACCGCCAAACCCCCCCCCCCCCCCCCCCCCCGCCCTCACCTCCGCGCTCAGACAACACGCGTGTCCCTCAGGGCTGACCCACGCGGGTACCGCGGGCACCGACCCCCCCACGCCAACGCCGAGCGCAACTTCCAGCGCTCGCAGCGGGCGGCAGGCCGCCGGGGGAAGGGAAGTGCGAGCATCCTAAAGCTCTTCTCTTTCACCTGCTCTGTTTGTTATTTGATCACCTAATGAAAAGATCGATGGCAGCCTGTTTATCTGGGTGATAGTGTCAACAGATTAAAGGGGCAGCAATCAGATGCTTCCCAGCCGGGCTAGGCGCAACCGCAATCAGGAAAAAGCCCAAACCCGCTCAAATTGCGCTGCTTTGGGCAAGGGGGGGGGGGGGGGGGGGGGGGGGGAATGTGAGGGGGGGTGTGTCTGTGTGCGCCGGGGAGGTATTTTCTCCTCTTGCCTGGCTGCAGAACGCCCGGCGGTTTTCATTTGCTGCGTGCTGAGGGGAAAAAGCG